AAAAAGTTTTAAAAAGTATTTGGACTCAATGACATTTTTCTATTTGGAAAAAAACACCTGGGTTTCTTGCTTGCTCCAACTTGTCACAGAAATTCTTCCTTTGAGGTTTCACTTGTCACTTTATAATGAGCGGTGTAGATACACGCTGGAAGAGTGCTGTGTGCAGGAAGGGTTGGCTACATCCCCAGCCTGGGTTGCTGAAGGAGGCCTTTCAATGGCAGGATGAATCTCAGCAACTTTGCAGCGACAAAGATTCCAATGAACATTAATGACCACAATAAGTTTCTAACATCATTCTTTGGCACTTTTAAAGATACAGATCTGTAATTACTTAAAATCTAACTCCCACTAGATTTAAGCTCCAGGAAAGCTTTCTTTTACCTACTGCATCTGTAGTACCTAACACACTGCCTGGCATGTTGGAATCTATGTAAACATTTTTTTTTCTATTCTAAAGTATTCAATCTTGTTTTGGTTTTTAAAATTTACACAGCTTCAGATATATTTTTCTCATGTCAAATAACAATACGGCATTCTCTGGTTAACATACTTAACATACCATAGTCTGCCAAGCCATTCGAGAAAAGTAATTTAACAAATAGGACAGTGTCTTATTCTTTGAGCCTTTGGGAGACACTGATTTAATTTACATTCCTCTGAAGATCTCTCCCACCTACAAGATTCTTTTATTTTATGACAAAACCATAGTTCTAGAAGCTTGTTCCTCACACCTGAAAAGACTAAATTTGAGACATGACCCCGTAGAACATAAGAGGTAAGTTTGGTGAAACTGAACGCAGTGGTTTGGAGGGTGAAAGAGGTTGACTGCCCATGGGTGGCGCTGGTGTTGGGGTGTGGGAGAGTCGTTCAAAGCAAGAGGTTTCAAAGAGGAAATGAGTCCATTTCAAGTGGGGTAGTCAGAAGAGGTTCATGACAACAACCATGAAATTTTTTTGGGGGGGGAGTAGTGGGAGGCAGATACATGTGTAAGAAATATGGGTGCTGTAGTCTTGCAAAAAATGTACTCTTAAAGACTGTGAAATTTAAAACTTGAATAACCAAGACTAATTTTCTCATAGGAATACATGAAAAGTAGGGTATGTGTTCTCAGAGCTCATAAATCTATAACTATTGTGGCAAATATTTACTTTGATATTGTTTTGTTATTACTGTAAAGATTCTAGAGTTCTGGTTTCTAATTTCACAAAATCAAAGCAGTTATTTCAAGTTCTTTACTGTGTTTTATCACATCTCACTTGGATCCCACAATTATTGATTTGGGGGCATATTTTCCCAGCACTGGCACCACTACTTAATGAATGATTGGAGGGTCAAAAAAAACCTTTTAATTATAGTAACAAAAACAATACAGCAACACAATAATAATAAAAAATCACCATCTGACGTGTTTCCTAGCTTGAAACTTGGTTCACATCACCGACAAAATATGGCAGGCATTCTGTTTAATCATTTGATCCGGCCAAGTAGCAATTCATAAGTATAAAATCATGTTATTGATTAGTTTTTTAAAAATTTGGGCAATATATATTCTTTCACATTTTGCTAATAAGACTTAGTATTTTATATTACATTATTTCTAAATCTCCAGCCACACTATGCTATATAAATGTGGCTTCTTGGGTGAGAAAAGAGGACAACAAAGATAGATGAAAAAGAAATTGATCCTACCAGAAATGATCTCATCATCTTTGGAACTCTAAGGCAATTGTGTGAAAATAATTTGCAACATCTATGTTATAGTTTTGAGCCAATACTCTCAAATTTTATTCCTGTGTTGTTTGGGCAAAGTCATCTCATGAGCCACTCTTATAACCATGCCCTCTCTCCTGCGTCATCCTTTCCTCCTCCCTACCAGGTCATTCACGTGAGTATCGTCAGTAGTGTGCTGGTAAATGTTTAACATCTGGCTTTTGCGGGGGACCCCTAAGTTGTAGTGGTTGTCTATTTCCATGGTGTGAATACTTCCATCCTGGCCAATTTCAAGGTGCCAGCACGGAAGACATGTGCATAGTTGGCTCTCGCAGGTGGCATGAGTCAGCTCAGCTCCTGAACACCACTGAAAGTGTTTTTCAAGTCAGGTCACAACCCACTGGTGAGTGGTCAAACATTTTAGTAGGTTATAAGCAGCATTTTTTAAACGAAAAATTAGGACGCTTCATGCATAACAAGAGTATTGTTTGGTGAAATTTTTGTTTTGTAACTTTAAGTATATATAAGGAAGAAGTCACGATGTCAATGTAGTCCTTATTGTGGCTTACTTGAAAGGGTCTAAAAGACACCACTGTGGTATCTAGTCTTTCAAACACACAAAATACAAGCAAAACAAGAAAATCGAAATCTTCACTTTGCCCCACTGCTTCCTTGGCTTCCACACGCTCTCTCTGTTCCTCTTCACAGCAAACTTCTTGAAATATTTAGTCATTACTTCTGCCACTTCTTCATTTCTCGTTTCTCAACCTACTTCCAAGAGAGTCACAAATGACCTCGGTGTTGCTAAATCCGTTGGTTACTTCTGTTCCTTGACCTCTCAGCAGCATTTGGCACAAATGGCTGTTCTTCTTTCTTAAAACGTTTTCCTTTGGCTTTTATGACACCACTCTCATCGGGTCTCCATGGCTGCCTGTTCTCAGTGTGTTTTTATCGTTATTTATTTATTTATTTTTAAAGATTTTATTGGGGAATTGGGGGAGGAGAAAACTTTGGGGAATTGGAAAAGGGGAACAGACAAGTTGCTGTCCTTTTTGTTCTTCAGTCTAGTTGTGGAGGACGTTGCACCACTGGCCCATGTTGGTATTGTGATCATTGCGCTCTTCCCGGCTGAGGTAGATCGGTCCCGGCCATTGGTGGCTCACGAAAGCTCACGCCAGCTGTTGGCCAGCCCCACTGCAGCCTACGCTATCACCGGCGACTCACGGCAGCCCAGCTCCAGGTCGAGTTGTTGTTCATCATCTTAGCTGTAGAGGGCGCAGCGGTCACTGGCCCGCATGTGGGATCTGAACCAGGGCCCTACTGCTCAGAGCTGGTGTCCTAAGCAAATGCTTAACCAACGTGCCACTCCACCAGCCCTTACCATGTTTTCTTATATCCCCAGCACTCTGACCTAGGTCAACTTCTCCATCTAGCTGCTCTCCTAGGTGACCTCATCAAATTCCATGACTTCACCTCAGACCATTTTCTCCTCCTCTTCTATATGTTCATCATGCTGCTGGCTGCTCTGTTCCTGAGGGCACTAAGTATTCTCAGGAGCCTTAGGTTCTTTGCATTAGTTGTTCCCTCAGCCTGGAATGTTCTTCCCCAAGATCTTCATTGGCTTCCTCCTTTCTTTCATTCACTTAAACTTCACTTCTTTGAAGAGGTTCTCTATGGCATCCAACTAAAGTAGCCACCCAAATGCTCCCAATTACACCATCCAATTTTAATCTTCTCCAAACACATCACTATCTGTATCTCCCACTGGAACATAAGTTCCATTGAAGCAGGAACAGTCAAAACTCCCTGCCTTCATAGAGCTTACACTTTTGTGGGTGAAGTCAAATAAAACAAAAAGTAAGTTATATAGCATATTAAAATATGGTAAGTGCTCGAGAAAAATAAAGCAAAGAAGAGTGATAGGGACTGTGTGTAAGTGTGTGTTTCAGGAGGGTGTTTGCAATTTTAAAGATGGTGGTCAGGAAGAGCCTCACTGAGAACTGATATTTGGGTAGGCTTGAAGGAGGCAAAGGGAACATCAGATGCAAAGGTTCTGAGGTGGGAGTGTGACAATATGTCCTAAGAATACCAAGGCCAGGGTAGTTGCTGCAGAATAAGGGAGGAGGAACGCAGTAGGAAATAAAGTCGTGGGGTGGGGGACAGACCATGAGGTCCTCTTGAAAGAACTTGGATCTTTACTCAGAGAATGAACAAAAGCTAGTGGGTTTTAGCAGAGGAGTAGCTGTTCGGATTACGCTTTGTTATGATGTCTCTGGTTGTTGATTGAGAATAGATTGCAGGGGAACAAGGGCAAAAGCAGGGAGACCAATTAGGAGGCCATTGCAATAATCCAAGGAAGACACGTGGAGCTTACAAATATTTGCGTCTCTTTTCTACATTTAGAAGGGTTCTGGGAGGGGCAAGTACACTATTGCCCCCTTTTTCACAATTTCACTTTCCACGGTTTGTTACCTGCTGTCAACCACATTCTAAAAATAGTAAATGGAAAATTCCGGAAATAAACAACTCATAAGTTTTAAATTGTGTGGCATTCTGAGGAGCATGATGAAATTGCATGTTGTCTCATCCCTTTGTCTCTGCTAGTCACTTAGTAGCCGTATCAGTTAACAGATAGCCTGGCTCATGGTAGCTGTGCTTGTGTTCAAGAAACCCTAATTTCACTCACATAACTTTTATTACAGCATACTGTTCTAATTGTTGTATTTTATTATTGTTAATCTCTTACTGTGCCTAATTTATAAGGTTTATTATAGGTATGTATGTATTGGAAAAACATAGTATACTATACAGAGTTCAGTACTGTTTGAAGTTTCAGGAATCTACTGGGGATATTGGAATGTATCCCCTACAGATAAGGCGGGACTGCTGTACTACAAAGCCATTTGTGTCCTCATATTCCTTATCGCTGTACCTTGTCATGGAGGGCATTCAGTGTGTATTTAAGTGATATAAAAAAAACATACTGAACTCACTGAACAAAATAGGGACCAATGTGGGGGTGATTTCTAAGAAAAAGTTCTTGGGATTCATGCATCTTTTAATCCGGTATTACTTCACCAACACTGGATTTCTGGCCCTTTTACTCAGTTCCATTTGCACCTAAATTTCACCTACCAAAGAAATAGATGTGTCGTAAAGGAGAGGTACTAAACCCAGGCAAAGTCGTAAAGACATTCAATCGCTCCTCACTTTATCAATATCCTAATATTTCAACCTAATATTTACAGTGTCTACTTCGTGCCAAGCATTACAGTAGGTATTGGGGAATATATGAGACAAGCTCCTCTTTATTTATAACGAAGCTGTACGGATAAAAACACAACACACAGACAGACAAGTCCAAGTCCAAGGTAGTGTATGTCACGGGTTTACATGTAACGATTTAAATAGGATCCTGGAGTGACTCAAACTTGGAAGATGACTAGGAGGAAGAGAGAAAAGTAATAGCGAATCAGACTGTGAGTTCACTGGTATGAGATGCATAATGAATTTCTTAAATAAAGAATAATAGAAACAAAAGCCAGAGGAGAAAAACCCATACCAGTGGCACCAAAACGTGTCTTTCAAAGCAAACGCGGATAAAAATCAAGTCGAGACGAGTAGGAACACGAGAACTTTGTGTTCCCGAACAGAAAACGAACTGCAAGCAGCCAGCCGTCCAAGGTTACCTTTGTATTTCTCTTATGTCCTTACAGCAATAGGTCAAACTAGCAGTCAGTGGGGCAGAGCACTCGGGTGTTTACTGAACGTCTATTAGACTTGTGCTCCAGGGTACAACTTGAAAACACCAACACACAAAAGACTGGTGAGTAATGTGCAGTGGCTGCAAGTCCCAGGTAGAATAACTGGAGGGGTCTCTGGGCTGGGTACAGTCCAACGGCACTGAAGCCAGGTCCCCACCATTTCACTTACATCCCAGGGAGTGGCACCAAGGGGGCGCCTCTGTTCCGATTACCCTTGACCGTAGGGCTTGGGCTCTGATCCCAGGCAAACGAGGAAGCAAACCCCAGAAACACCGGCGACCTGGGCGCCTAGGGAAGGCCAGAGACAGGCCTGTAGTCCAGGTGGGGTCCGGGCGGCGTCCACACCCGCCCTAAGCGCCCGCCTTCGGAGACCCGAGGCCCACGACACGGGACCGGCGGGAGCACGCTGACCGAGGGGCGGAAGGTTTTTTCCGTCTTTCCCAACCATTTCCATCCGCCTCCTCCGCTCAGGGTTTTTTTTTAAAACACAGACTGCCCTCGTCCCTGTCAACCCGCACCAAGCTGGCTGCGATCCGAGACGCCAGAGGCTGTGCAGGGGGCCGGGGTTGGTGGCGGCCGCAGGGCAGCGGAGGCGGGGCCAATACCGACGCACAGGGCGCGAACCCGGATACAGCGGCGGACTGACCGCTCTCCTGTTCCGTAGCCGCGCACGGACGCTGGGCCGGGGATCGGACGGCGCGCCGCAGTGGACAAGTAGCCTCGGCGCGAGCGTCTGCGTTGCTGGATTGGGTGAGTCCGCGGCGGTGGTGGGAGCGCCCGCCTGGGAGAGGGTCCTGTCGTCGCCGTCCCGTGTCAGTGATGGGGGTGGGTCCATCTCCCGTGAGCCCGCCGCCTGTGGCGCGGGGGTCCCGCCGCAGACCCTCTCGCTTGTTCGCAGTTTCATCTCTCTCCAGTCGAAGCCAGCGATCTGGGGAGGCTTCCTCCCTGGTTTCTTAAATTACAGGGTCTTAAGTTTAGTGACAGACCCCCGGCTCTCCCGGTTCGCTCTGAACGCGCCTTGGGAGAGGCTGAGTCACTGGACTGCCTGTTAAACGGTAGGACATGCAGGTTATCCGAATTGCATTGATGGTTAGTGAGACGTGACGAAGGCTTCCTGCGAGGTGGGCGTTGCTCGTGACCGCGGGGCCTGTCCCTGTGGACACTCGGAGAACGACGGGCTCCGGAAGCCTGGGGCTTAAGCCGGCCTGGTGACGGCGTGCGCTGAGCGTGGCTCTGGGTCCCACCCCGGCCTCGCCTTTGGTTCTGGTTCGTACTTCCGTTGTACTAACGTGTAAATTGACACAGGTCGGGGTTGCATTAGGTGCTAAACCGAGAGGGATGCGGTGTTTTCTTTCGAGGGACAAAGTGATAGCTGTAGTCCGTATGTGCAGCTGGGCCGAGTCCCGACCGCGGGCGGAAGTAACGCAGGAAGCTGAAGTTTCGCTTCTGCTTTCGTTTTCAAGCCATCAGGTTTCCCTGAAGCGATTACGTTTACCGATAGGCACTTTTAAAAACAAAGTATAGTGGACGTACAACATCGTGTTAGTTTCAGGTGTGCAACAGAGACTCTACAGCTATATATATACCTTAGGAAGTGATCGTCGCGGTAGGTCTAATTACCATTTGCCGTACAAAGTTATTACGATATTATTGATTGTACTTTCCATTTGCCGCCGTACAAAGTTATTACGATATTATTGATTGTACTTTCTGTGCTGTACGTTACATTCGCGTGACTTATTTATTTATAACTAGAAGTTTGTCTTTAAAACTGGCTGATGCTCCCCTCCCCACCTTTTTTATCTTAGCCACAGGGAGAACTGTATATTCAAGAGATTGGATTTTTTTCCCTCTGACTTATTTAATTTGGAAGAGGAAGAGCAATCTCTTCTATTAATAATAATAGCTAAACCTTATAAAGCACTATTTCATTGTTTTATTCATTTAATCCTCAGAACAAACCTGTGAGATGAATACTATTATTCTCATTTTACAGATGAGAAAAGTTAAATGTCTCTGATAACTGTACAGCAGTATTTGCTATTTTAGTATTTTTATTTTTAATTTTTATTTGTTTTCTTCTAGTATTTTAAATAAGTCCCATGTTAGAAAATTTCTACTGATGTAATATTTAAATCAATATTTCCTTCACTCATTATCCCAAATTATTTAGTATATAAGTACACTAGGGAAGAGTTGGGGTCAGATCTTTGAGTGTAATAACATCTTGTTATTTGGTAAATATCAGTAAAATAATTTATAATTTTAAAATTTAAAAATAGTTATATGAAGAAAAATGATGCATTTTCTTTTCCTCTATTTTGATTTTACACAGGACACGTGCCTGTTTCAATCTGGGAAGCTTTTAAATGAAACGCGCTTAAAATCTTAGGTCATACACAGAAGAGAGACCCCAATCAACAATAAGGTGGAAAAGAAGAATGTTGTCCTTAGACAACCTACAGAATGTCATCCATAACCCGGTAACATTTTGATGAAATCATTTTTTATCTGTTGCAGGATTCAGAGAAAATCCAGTGGGATAGTAATTATCTATTACTGGGAGTGGGGGCGGGCAAGAATAAAAGTTGGTAAACATGTGTAAAGCACCCACTGTGTGATAGGGACTGTGGTGTGTACTTACTGGAAAACATGGAGCCCTTGGAGCTCAGTCTAGTGGAAGACCACGTCACAGTTACATACAAGGTGATGAGACTGTTATGAGCGGAGAACATGGGAGAGCAATGGAGGGAATGCCAGCTTTGGTGGTGGTAGGAAGGTGCAGATAATGATAAGACATCATTTTAAAAGGAAAATAGATTTCTTCCTCTATAGGTGTTTAATTTTCTTTTTAAATTAGACCTGTCCCTCTGCCTTTTAAATACAGCATGTGCTGTAGCAGGGAAAAGTCAGAAACTAGTGATGAGATGGCAAATGAGAAAAATTAAGGGTCTGGTCCCGGCCTCAGGCTGGTCCGAGAACCCCTGTGTGACTGTTATTGCTGGAGATTTCAGTGTATGTATGTCCTGGGAAGTAACGGATTTATTTTAGTCTTCACGTATCTGGAGATGAATCTAGAATTTAGGTCTGAGGTACAGTTGCTGCTTTTTTTTCGATAAACACCTTAGGAGACTTTTGGGCAATAGGGAGGGTGAGAGTCCTTGAAGCAAGGCCCTAAACCAGTCTTGTTTGTGTAAGTGGGTTCAATTTTTTGTTATTTACTTTGTAGCTGTAACTCTTTTTTTCCTACATTTTAATGTCATTGTACAAGAATAAGGTACGACCACCATACAAGCAAACTCAGTTTTAGAGTAAATAGCCTTCAGTAATAATAGGTTCAAAAAGGATGACTTGCTAAACTTGAAGTCAGAGACATTTAAAATGATTTTGTGTATCCTAGAGTTAAAAATATCTCAAGGTTATAGACTGACTTTCTGCAGAGGTTAAAAAAAGTAGGCTCCCTGCCTGAAGGGTGACTGAATTGTCAAGCTAGGCTTGGCTCGGGACAGGAGGAGGGATGGATGGCCGGGATACACCCTCCAGTTCTGCCCTTCATGCGTGAAGATGCCTTATTGGAATGTTAGGTAGAAAATAATTTTCTAGATTAGAATCCCTGCATGTCTTGACACTAGCAGAGCGATGATTCCTGTGATTTCTGGAGTTAGCACCCTAAGCTGCAGAGGTGAAACAAAAGTAAGATGGTGTTTATTTCCTGAGGAAGGGGACCTGGAGGACTAGCACCTGCTCCAGGGCGCCCCGACGGCCTCACCGCTGCTCCGAGGGCAGTTCATGGTCAGAGGTTCCCTAAGGAAATAGTTTTTTGGCAAATAGCTTTTTTTTCCCTTCTCTGTTTTATAGTCAGTTCTCACAAGTAGAAGGGGATAGAGGTAGAAAGACTGAACTGAATGGCAAAAGTAACATTTTGATCTGTCTTTAATTTCACTTATGTTAAACATTCATAGCATCGAGTGCCCATATCGCACTTAAGCTCTTTTACCATTTGTAGCTAGTTGCCCTTCCAGTGTTCAAAGGACAATGGAAAAAAGAGGCTACAGATAACTTAGGTATTTTAAGTGACTCGATTAGGATATTGTACAAGCTAGACTTAAAAACAACTATTTTCTCGCATTATGGTTATTTTGTTAGTGATCAAACATTGGGGAAGTATTTATTGAGTTGTACTACATTCTTTATTAAACATTATGAAAAAACAGAACTGCCACCTTTTTATTTTTATTTCTTAATGTTTTTAAAGTTTTGGTCACGTTGGTGATAGACAAGACAAATTCTGTCCATATTAACTCTTCTTGGAAAAGATAAAGTAAATTGTATAACTGGCCTGTGTACTTTTTTTTTCATATTTAATATATTTCATTGACTAGTTCAATTGATAGAATTCCAAGACTTAAAAAAGTCAGGCTTACTTTTCTTTCCGTTTAAATTGAGTGAATAATTTGGAAGACAGTATCTTCACACCAGAAATGCCCTCTGTGAAATATATTGCTTGGCAACTCAGTATCTACCTAAATATTTTAGGTAGATAGATAAATAGTTGTTTGTAGAGCTCTTAAGATGTGGTTGTCAGCAGGTTAAGAAGTTATTTAGAACTTGAACAAATTGGTTGTTACTCCAAGTTAATAAACCACTTGTTAGCAGTAATCTCTCCCGATGCTGAAAAACTTATCATGCCAGTTTCCTTAGGGACCTTGTTTCCTTTATTCTTAGGATTCTAGGTAGCTCCCTGTCTGCCTTGCAATTTAATCTTAAAGCACAAAACAAGAAAATCTTCCTTTTTAACCTCCAGGGTTCCTTCCAGCCTTTGTTCCCTTGTTCTTTGACCACCTTCCTGAGAGTGAGTCCATTTCTGCTGCCTTCACTTGCTCCCCACAGCTCTGCCCTCCGATTTTTTTGCTTTCTCTTAATTGCTTTCTTGTCTTTACCAATCATGTCTTTCCTTCTCTCTTTCATGTCTTTACTGATCACCTTTAGACCTTTGGAATATGTTTACAATCAGAATACGGTTCTGGCTTTTCACCTCTCCAGCTGTCAGATGCCCTGCCCACCCTTCAGGACTATGAGCTTGAGACTAACCGTGGTGCTTCTCCGAACGGGCTTCCCTTCTGTGGTTTTCCGTTTCTGTCAGGGTCCTTCTGCTGTTAGCTTGTGCCTCCTGCAGGCTACCAAGCCCTCAAGAATCTGAAGATAATCTCTCTTCAAAATTTAAAATTCATTTATATCAAATCCTTTTTTATTCTTTTTTTAAAATAGAAAGATAATATGTGTAAATCATTTTTAAAAATTCAAACAGTATTTAAGGGTTTCATGAAAACATAAATTTTTCTTTTACCCTGGTTCTCAGTTCCCTTTCCTAAAGGCGATCATTTTCCACCATTTTTTTGTGTCCTTCTTGAGAATAAGTGAATGTCCAGGCGTGTGCATGTTGTATGTGTCACCTCTTGTATGTCCTGTCTCTGTACATGCATGTACCATCTACATGTAATCTTGTACACCCGGCTTTTCCCATTTAACACATTTGGAGATGTCAGCACGCTTAGAACTTCCTCACTTATTTTTTTAATTTTTTTTTTTTAGCTGAGCCATCCTGCCACCTGTTGGCAGCTCAGCGGCTGCTCAGCTTGGGCCGGGACTCGAACCGACCTCACTTAATTTTAATGGCTACATAATTAGTTCATCGTATGTATCTTGTGTAACTTAACCAGTCCCCTTAAAGGACTGTTTCCTTTTGTGATTAGATTATATTGAGTTCTGTGGGGTGCACCCTTGTATGTGAGTCTGTGCACATGTGCCAGTATTTTATAGGCTAAATCTTATACTTTTTACAAAGCGGACTCACTTGGGCAAAAGCTTTGCTATCCATTTCATTATCTCTTTTTTTGGATCTTCCTTATTTTTCCATGTAAAGCTGTGGGCAGGCCTCCCTTACTGAAATTCACTTTCTTAATGTGCCTGCTCTGCTCTCCCTGATGCTTCTCCCTTCTTTCTCTTCTCACCCCTCTATTGAGGTGTCCAGCACACGTTGAGCTTTGATGATTCACTGGCTAGATGGCTGTGATTAATTACAGTGAAAGGACACAGAGCCAAATCACAAAGGGAAGAGGCGCACAGGGCGAAGTCCAGGGGAACCAGGTGCAGGGCTCCCAGGGTGTCCTCCCAGTGCTCACACAGGCGTCAGGAGAGCCCAGCACGCACACGTGTGCAGTGTCGTCTACCAGGGCAGCTCATCAGTGACTCACTGACCAGGGTCTTTACGTAGACAGCCTCTGCCTAGCTCATACGAAAATTTCAGACTCCGAAAAGGAAGCAGGTGTAGCATAAACCATATTGTTTGCATAGACAGTGTCGGTACAGTCAGCCACTCTTATCAGTTAGGCTGGCAGGTGCTCTCCCCAAATCCAAGTTCCTAGACACCTGCCAAGGGCCAGGCATGTATGGACGCCTTTCCAGGACAGCAGCCAGGTTTGCTTTGTTCTCTCTTTTCTGCACACCCCCCAATTTTACAAACCATTGAGCCTTTGCCCCTGACTTTTCCTGTAGCTTATCTACTCTGATACCTTAATAGTCATCTCGACTCTGACTTCTGAGTATGAGTTCTGGCCATTCACTTACTGTGTGGTCTGGAATCTTCCATGCCTTTCAGTGTATTTGCTCTTAGAGGGCCTTCCGACCCTTCACACTGAAAGGGTTCAGAACTACACTCATCCTCGTCCTTCAGAAATCTGTTTCCTCCGCAGTTTACTGTTTTAGATGGTGGCCCTTTACAGAGTTTCCTTTGAAATCTCTGTTATATCTATCTCCGTCACCTTCCCCCCACCCCATGTCTGTTACTGTCAGCCTAGATTATATCCTTATCTCCTTATGCCAGGCTTACTGGACGTAGTCAGTCTCCCAGATAACCCCCTGCCCACTGGACGGTTGTTCCCAAACCCCTTTCATTGTGTCATGCTAAAATCTGACCCTGACTCTGTCTTTAACTGCTCCCTTGTTAGGTTTTGTCTTTTCCTGCCTCTCTGCTTTTGTAAACTGACATTTCTCCCTGAACTGACGTCTTCCTCCTTTCTGCCTAACTGTATTTTCCCAGCTCAGATCACACCTCTTTCATAAACTTTCTTTGGCCACTTCAGTTAGAATCTTGATGTATTTTTCTGAAGCACTTATTTGATACTTACTGCCCCACTTTTTTACATGTTGAATTAGTCAGGGTTTGTAGTTGCAAGCACAGAAGCCAGTCTCTAATTTAAGCAGAGAAGGAATTTATTAAATGATATTGAGTAGTTCTCAGACTCTCTAGCAGAGCTGAGCCAGGCTTGCCAGCGACAGTCCCAGCTGCCAGCAACATGCTGCAGGGCTGTTCCCACAGAGAGATGCCTGTGGCCACGGCTGCCTCTGACCCCGGATGTAGCTGCTGCCCCCTTGCTGGAGCAAATACTGCATGATCCTGGCTTCTTCCTGTCACTCCTTCCAACGTCATGTCTGAGCTGGGAGTTTTGTCACAGGCCCTGGCTGCTGTCTGGATGAGGGCTGACGTTCCTAAGGGACTGGATTTTCCAGATCGGGAAGGAGATTAGATTTTGAACAGCCAAACAAGTATCACATTTCCACTCTAATTATCTTTCCATAGGTATCTGACGTCTTCCCAACTACGTTATAAGTTCGTGTGCACCGGTCTCCCTTACCTCGTCCCAGCTGCAGTTTCTGACCTAATAGAGACCCTTGCGTATAGCAGACATTTAATAAGAAATCATTATAAAGGCAGAGCAGTAGGAATCAGCTAGGAAGTTTTGGCAAGGAACACCAAACCTAACTAGAGCTTAAGCTTATGGTACTGTCTCAAATGTGATCATACCTGTATTTTCATTTTTTATGTAAATTAACTAATTGTGAAACATAGCATCAAGGCTTGGAGTTACCTAGAAAACAGTTCCCTTCTCCCCCCTTTCACAGGAGCAGATAGCCGGGAGTTCGATGAATGGGCTGCAGGACCTTTTGTCTCACTCACGTGGTCCAAAAAACTGAGCATCACTGCTAAAATTTAGGGTAATTTACTAAGTAGAAAGCATTAACCCAGACAACTAAAACGGTAAATGGCCAAATTTTTCAGCAGTTGTTTCTCAGACTGGAACAACAGTAACAGTTGTGAACAGTGTATTCGCAGTGATGCGAATAGATTACTGGTCTTCAAAAGCTCTTTCCAACCCTAAAATTAAATATATAATAAAAAAGCTGTGGTTATAAAAGTATAAATGCTTATTATAGAAATCTGGAAAATATGAAGACGAAAATTAAAATCCCTTCTCTTAAGAAAACTTGTAACATTTTTGGCTTATTTCTTTACAGTCATTCTTTGTAATGTTTATTATCAAGTTAGTTAAGATAATACTGAATATAGTTTTGTAGACTTTCTCACTGATATTTATCTCACATTTTTGTGTTATTAAATAGTCTGCATTATTATAATTAGAACATCTGTAAAATTTGAAGTTATAAAAGCTGTTCTCATTTATTAAGAGATTTACACTATGGGAGATGCTACAGTGTGTTCTTGGAATCAGCCTAGGCCCAAGAGATCAGTGTGAAGGCATAACCCCTTCCACATTCTCCACACACAAAACCCGACCACTTTGCTGTGTGGCTACAGCTACGCTCTGTTCACCCACCCAGCCTGCCCTCAGCAGTTGCCATGACACCAGATGGTAACTGGCTTCGGAAATGTCTGGTCTTACTGCTTAAGGCAGCAGCACTCGCTGTGCAGCAGCTGCTGAGTCGCGCATCTGCGTGTGAGGCCTGACGGAGCCCAGTTTCCGGGCAGTGAGAGCCCATTCATGCACCATGGAATCACTGATCATCTCTTGACCTCTGCCCTGGGGCTGTAGAGGTGATGAGCTCACAGTCTAGCAGAGATGTCTGCGATGGACAGAGGACCAAGTGCTACGATGGCCCCTCACAGGGGCTCACTCAGCTGCCCAGGGAGTCTGAGAAAGGCTCCACAGAGGAGGTTGTATTTGAGCGGAGATGTTCAGCTCATGAGCCTCCAATTTACAACTACTTCATGTGGCCTCTCATCTTATTTCTTATTTCTCGATAGTCAGCGCTACTTCAGATAGATTTCAGCATATGTTGTAAGTTGGGTGAGCTTGGCATAAGGCGTGATGGTGTCTGGCCTCTTGGCTTGGCCACATGCTCCCAAGTGGAATGAGGTTGTGAGGTGGTGAGGGAGGTGACGCAGCCACGTAGCACAGGTCTCCATCCAGCGGGGTCACCTCAAGGGAAGGGGCGTGACAAGGTCTGAGTGTGTCAGGCCCCAGACAGAAAGGCTGGGTTCCAGGTGGTGAGGGGGGTAGGCTGAGACCCGAATCCTGTGCGGGAACCCCCGTGGGAGCCCGACCCTGCAGACAGCCCAGGCCAGGATTGGCGGGCGCCGTGTCTAGAGAGCCGCAGACACCTGGAGCGCGTCCCTAAGATCATGAAGTTCTCCGATGGCCGCAGTGCGGCCTGGGTTGCAGTCTGGAAGCCCTGCGATTCGGCCCTCACACCCCAGGTGCGGGGTGCCCCCTCCACAGGCAGTGAGTGTCGTCATCTTCGTCGGCATTGGCTTGGGGCCTGGCGTGACCTGATCCTGCCATTGGTCCATCAGTGGGACGTCAGGAAAAAGGGAAGGGGGCATGACCTTGCAACAAGTTATTTTTCTATTATCAGAATTGTTCCATTAAGTGGAAATTTTACTTCACAAAACCCCCAGCCAAATAAAAAATACTGTGAATGGTATTTGTCTTTTCCCAAAGAACTCGGTCTGCAGATATGGTGATTATGTAGCTGTGTTGTTCCCGTCTAGCTGTTTGAATAGCAAGGTCGGCTTAGGAAATGCTAGGTTCTGAGCAGATTGATAAGCAGCCTTTAAGAAAGTCGTCTTTCCATTTTGTTTATTTAAAAGCACTTTTGTTAAAATTGTTTTTCCTAGGTCATCCCCTATGTTGGGACCATTCCTGAGCAGTTGGACCCTGGAACTTTGATTGTAATACGCGGGCACGTTCCTGGCGATTCGGACAGGTAAAATCATTGTATTAGATGCAAAAAGAACGTGAATAAACGTCTCTCTGTGGCTGTAGAACAACAACAGAAAATAACGTGGGAGAGACATTTTGATTCTCTGAGGACTGATTCTGCTTTCGTCAGCAGCCTGGCCCAGGTGCTGAGGAGATTGGAATAACTCGGTTTTTTATTGTATTTCTCTAAGTCTGATTTCAGTGTAAAGCATTAGATAGATGTATAATTGAGGTTGATGAGGGGAACTGATCAGAGGACAGGGACAAAGCCTGGTTGTAGTAGCACTCCCACAGCATCTTAAGGTCTGTTTTGGGTGCTTTCACCTGCTGTGGGTACAAACTGTGGCTGAGGCCGGAGCAGTGAGAGTTGGGCTCAGCTCGGTGTGGCCGATGCCCACATAACAGTGGTTGAAATAAGATGTGAATGTCAAGTCTAAAGGAGAGAGCCCTGGCCTTTGAAGGCATCTCTGTCAAGTCGTTAGAGAAGCAGGCCTATCCCGGCTCTCCGCTCTGCCGTCTCCTAGCTGAGGCCCTTCGCTAGCCTCTCAGAAGCGACAACTCCAGCCCACCTGGGCGGGTGCATGTGGGATATGGACGGAGGGGCAGGTGGTGGGAAGAAGGCCGGTGCCACCTGACTGAAGGCAGTCTCCAGTAGTTCCCCTGAACACTTCCTTTCTAGCCCATGAGCGTCCCTGCCTGCGGGGGGAGCTGGACAGATGGGCCCCGACCTACAGCTCGGGCTGTTAGTAAGGAAGAGGACTAGGCAGCAGGGTGTTTCGGCCACATGGGCGCAGGCCCAGTCATGTCCTCAGCCTGGATTGTCCTGCTCTGGCCCTTCCCTCAGCCTCCCTCGCTGAGTATTCAGGTCGTCATGTTGCCTTCCTTACAGGTTCCAGGTGGACTTGCAGTGTGGCAGCAGCGTGAAACCCCGAGCTGACGTCATCTTTCACTTCAACCCACGTTTCAAAAGGAACAACTGCATTGTTTGCAATACTCTGAAAAATGAGAAATGGGGATGGGAAGAGATCACGTACGACATGCCTTTCAAAAAAGAAAAGTCTTTTGAAATTGTGATCATGGTGCTGAAAGAGAAATTCCAGGTAGGTTTTGGAGAATGAAAGTCAAATCCTCATTAATGAGAGTAAGTGCACAGGCACCTTTGCACATTAGGGAACTTGCCTTCCAGCTCTGAAGTCCAGAGAAAGAGTTTGGTTTATAATTTTTCTCTAATGTAGGGGCCAGGCAGGTTCCTAAACGTGATGGGGGCACAGCCTGTCTCCTGCCAGTGCTGCCAAGGGGAATTTGGGCCCCGGACAGCCACATCTTCTGATTGCCCAGTAGGGCTGGGCTCAGTTCCGAATTGGCACAGCATTCTATTGATTATGGGACGGTAAATGCGGAACTGACAGACAGCTGGGGACTCGTAGTGCAGACGTCAGAATCCCAGTGTGAAGTCAAGTCCTGCCACCAGATGGTTCTTTAGAATCATGAGATTTTAGACCAGAAATTCTCTGTGTAGTAAATACTATTACTGGCTTCCTTCAGCATTTCATACGTCATGTGTGTGTGTCTGTGTGTGTGCGTGCGCGCGCGCGCACTCTGTCCGTGTGTGTGTCTGTGTCTGTCTGTCTGTCTGTGTGTGCGTGCCTGCGCGCGCGCGCACTCTGTCCGTGTGTGTGTGTGTGTGTGTGTCTGTCTGTGTGTGTGTGCGTGCGCGCGCGTGCACTCTGTCCGTGTGTCTGTGTGTCTGTCTGTCTGTCTGTGTGTGCGTGCCTGCGCGCGCGCGCACTCTGTGCTAGAGGCTCTTCCCCCTCTTGGGCCTCACGCCTGCGGAGCCTCCCAGACTGGAGATCTGTACCCTTCATGTGAGCACTGTCTTTCCCGGCCTTCAGGATTCCGCTTCCACCAGAGCATCCCCCCTAAATTTCCTAAATTCCATTCGCTCCTCCCTTCTCTGGCCTTTAATCTTGTGTCTGAATAATTCTTTTTAACACTTGTTCCTGTGCTTTGCTTAATTCCTCTATTTACTATGCCTGCCACTGGGGTTCTAAGCTCCTTGAGGTCAGAAACCATACTGTATTCTGCCAGTGTTTTCCCGACATTCCCAACACAGTGCCTGGCACTTGGAATCGGGGGGGAGGAGGGACTCTGGACCAGGCCTGGGAGCGAGAGCTTTCCCTGCATACAGGGAAGCTGGGGAACGTGCCCGTGTTCGTTCATTCAGCAAGTTCAACAACTACTGCCCGTCATGTGCAAGGTTGCCTCTCTGAAGGGTGGTGAGCTTGCAGGGCACGGCTCCCCTGGGTTCACAGGCCTCCAGGGATGGCTCGTATTTATGTAGAGGCGCACACATGCACACACACATAGGTTCACGCGTGTGTGATTGCTCTGGAGAGTGGGTCCCTGGCATTCAATCAGGCCAGGAAGTCAAATGAGGATAAACACTGCTGGTGCTGTGATGCTTTCAGTCACATTCTGGTCGGACACGAAATGTGAAGACCTGTTGGAAAGGAGATACAATTAAACCCAAGTAAACAGATTTTAACTTGGCTAAGTTAATACAATTAATTTATTAACTTTTTTTTTGCTGGGGGGTGTTGCTGTCTCCTGTGTCCGTCTAGGTGGCTGTAAATGGAAAACATACACTGCTCTATGCTCACAGGGTGAGCCCAGAGAAAATAGATACTCTGGGCATTTACGGCAAAGTGAATATTCACTCGGTCGGCTTCAGCTTCAGCTCGGTGAGTGCCCAGCCATAGCCTGGGGTCATCTCTGATGACGTTTTCTGGTTAAACAGCAGCAAACATCTTTAATACCTTCTATTAAGATAAAAATAATGTAACTACCTCTCTCATTAGTATTAATTCTTGGAAGTAAGTCTTTCAGACAAGTAGGATGCTATGTTTTTTTGTGTGTGTGGTAAATTGTATTTGTGTAAATCATTTAGAAACTGACCTTCTCTTAAGACCTATTTTTACTTTTTACTTTTTTAGTTCTATAACCTTGCACTTTTTAAAACTTTTATTTTTTATTTTCTTATTTATTACACCCCCCACCTCCCTCCCCTTTGGCAATCATGAGCTTGTTCCTGCATCTTACTGCTGAGTAATAGTCCACTGTATGTGTGCACCACATGTTCTTCATCCATTCATCTACTGAGGGACACCTAGGTTGCTTCCATATCTTGGCCATTGTAAGTAATTCTGCAGTAAACATAGGGGTGCATATATCTTTTTGGATTTATGTTCTGGATTTCTTTGGATAAATACTCAGAAGTGGAATTGCTGGATTGTAGGGCACCTCTACTTTTAATTTTTTGAGGAAAATTCTTGTTTTCCATAGTGGCTGCACCAATCAGCAATCCCATCAACAGTGCACACGAGGGTTTTCTTTACTCCACATCCTTGCCAACACTTGTTTATTGACTTATTGATGATAGCCATTTTGAGAGGTGTGAGGTGATATTTCATTGTGGTTTTAATTTGCGTTTCTCTGATGATTAGTGACATTGAGCATCTTTTCATATGTCTGTTGGCCATTTCTATGTTCTTTGGAGAAGTGTTTATTCAGGTCCTCTGCTCTTTTTTTTTTTTTCCAAAGATTTTTATTGGGGAACTGGGGGGATGGGAACAGTGTTGGGGAATTGGGGGGATGGGAACAGACAAGTTGCTGTCGTTTTGTTCTTCAGTCTAGTTGTGGAGGACGTTGCTTCACTGGCCCAAGTTGGCACCATCATTGCGCTCTTCCCG